ATTGCTGGCAATTTTGCCTGAGACACGGGATTTCGGTCACGGCAGAATATATTCAAGGTCTCTCCAACACTACGGCGGACTGGTATTCACGCCAATTCAGAGATTCCAGCGACTGGCACTTGGATTCCATGGTCTTCCAAAACATCTGGAACCTATGGGGTCTATTGGAAAGAGATCTTTTCGCTTCTCGTTTGAATGCTCAACTTCCCTGTTTTTTCAGTTGGAGACCAGATCCGATAGCACTGGCTATGAATGTTTTCTCCAAGGAATTACGATTTTCTGCCCTTTGCAATGATTCCCTGTTGCCTTTCCATCTACATCGCCAGTCTGGCACCTGGTGATCATGGCTCCTCTATCACCGTCCCAACCATAGTTCTCTCCTCTTCAGTAGATGGTTATCGACCTTCCATCTCTCGAGTGCCTTCTTCAGGATCCAGATGGTGTACCTCATCCCCATGTTCCGCAAGGTCTCTTGCATCTCATAGTGTAGTCTATTTCAGGGAACTTTGGTCGGTCAAGGGAGTTTCGCAATCACCTCCCCAACTTATCAAGGGTGCACCCAACATGAGACAGGCTTATAAATCTGCTTGGAGCAGATGGCATAGTTGGTGCATGAAATTAAATTTAAATCCCATATCGGCTCCTTTTATGTCTGTCCTCCATTTTTCTGACTTCTATGATGAAGGTAAAGCCTATCGCACTGTGGACCTTACCGATAGTCCATTTCTGCTGGCCATCAAAGTTTCGATTGGATGTCTGTCGGTTGACATCCTGTCATATATTGACTTCTCTGAGGAATATGGTTTGCTCATCCACCCATACCACGATACTCTGTCTTGTGGGACGTCTCAATTGTCTTGAATTTTTTTCTTGCAAGAGGTTTTTCTGACGTACGAGCTCTTGGGGTGGTTGCTCGTTCCTTTACTCCAGAAGGTGTCTTCTTTGACATTTCACGGAGGACAAAAACCTCCTCTAAAATCAATTTTACCCAGGTTTCCCTGATAGATCTCTCCTTTACCCTGTTGCATACTAATGGGTGTCTGAACATTGTTCCACTACGTTACGGAATCCTTTGAAACAGGAACTCTTCATCTCCTTCCAAAAGTCGCGTCTTCTGGTGTCTACTCTAGCCTGGTGGGTCAAATACGTTATGTCTCTTGCAGGTATTGATACCTATGTGTCTGTGCCTCATTCGGTTCGTAGGGCAATGGCTTCTAAGGCTTCCTCAATTGGTTGTCGCTTGGAGGATATTATGAGAGCGGCTGGTCTTCTGAGTCTACATTCCATGATTTCTACTTTAGACCTATTCAACACTTCACAGGAAACATAGTTACATAGTTACATAGCTGAAAAGAGACTTGCGTCCATCAAGTTCAGCCTACCTCACATTTGTTTTTTGCTGTTGATCCAAAAGAAGGCAAAAAAACCCAGTTTGAAGCACAATTTTGCAACAAGCTAGGAAAAAAATTCCTTCTTGACCCCAGAATGGCAGTCAGATTTATCCTTGGATCAAGCAGTTATTACCCTACATTGAAAGATTATATCCTTGAATATTCTGTTCTTGCAAGTATGCATCTAGTAGCCGTTTGAACATCTGTATGGACTCTGATAAAACCACTTCCTCAGGCAGAGAATTCCACATTCTGATTGTTCTTACAGTAAAAAAACCTTTCCTTTGCCTTAGACGAAATCTTCTTTCTTCCAGTCTAAACGCATGGCCTCGTGTCCTATGTAAAGTCCGGTTTGTGAATAGATTTCCACACAATGGTTTGTATTGGCCCCGAATATATTTGTATAATGTTATCATATCCCCTCTCAGGCGACGTTTTTCTAAACTAAATAGGTTTAAATTTGTTAACCTTTCTTCATAGCCGATATGTTCCATTCCTTTTATTAATTTTGTAGCCCGCCTCTGCACTTTTTCTAGTGCCATAATATCCTTCTTTAGAACAGGTGCCCAAAATTGCACAGCATATTCAATATGGGGTCTTACCAGTGATTTATAAAGAGGCAAAATTATATTCTTGTCCCGAGAATGAATGCCCTTTTTCATGCATGACAATACCTTACTGGCCTTGGCCACTGCTGATTGACATTGCACATTGTTGCATAGTTTGTTGTCTATGACAATTCCCAAGTCCTTTTCATGTGTTGTTATCCCTAATTCGCTTCCATTAAGGGTATACGTTGCTTGTGTATTCTTTACGCCGAAGTGCATAACTTTGCATTTTTCAACATTAAATTTCATCTGCCATTTGAGTGCCCAGTCCCCAGTCTATCTAAGTCCCTCTGCAGCAAAGTAATATCTTGCTCACATTGTATTGTTTTACAAAGTTTGTGTCATCTGCAAACACTGAAACATGACTTTCAATGCTGTCTTCAAGATCATTTATAAACATGTTAAATAGAAGGGGTCCCAGAACAGACCCCTGAGGGACACCACTTGCCACCTCTGTCCAGCTTGAAAATTTACCATTAATGACAACTCTTTGTACTCTGTTTTTAAGCCAATGTTCTACCCAAGAACAAGCATTTTCATCTAGACCGATTTCCTTGAGTTTGACATAATTTCACAGTTTTGAACTAGCATAATAGGAGGCTCAGTGTCTTAATAAAATTTACAGATTTTACTATTAACATGACGTAAGGTCATGATTTTATTAATGACACGGAGGCGAGTATTATCCCTCTCTCCCTCTCTCTGATATTCCATGTAATGTGAATTTATGCATAAATCCAGTTTTATACTTGGATATTACCATATTCTCCTTTCTCTTCCAGCTTGACTTCGAGATCCAATTTAAGGCTTGTATACCCTCTAATTGGAGCCCACTTTTTATTTGGATTTGTTGTCCTTGTTCGGGATCGCAAGAAAGAGGAAGTTGTATACTTGACACTGCCTATTATGCTATAAAGAGGATGCTGTTTGGCTGTTCCTGTTGCTAGGAAGATATACCTCATGTTATTTACTGGTCTCTTTTATACTGATTTAATGTTATTTTTCTTTGCTGCTGAGGTAAATAAAGAAAGAGTGCAGCATAATACTCGCCTCCGTGTCATTATTAAAATCATGACTTTACGTCATGTTAATAGTAAAATCTGTAAATTCTCTGAAACTATGTTTACATGTGAAGGGTTAAAACCTGAGGGACTTGGCACCCTGACCACTTCATTGAGCTGAAGTGGTCTGGGTGACTATAGTGTCCCTTTATGTATTGTATTATGTATAGTTTGTATTTTAGTCATCTGATTTCTTTGTCTTGTTTTAGTTGACCGAATTAACACTCTTCATTGTTCTTTTAATGTCTTGAGCTGGGGAGAGGGGGGGAGAGAGCTTGTTCTTAATGTTTATTTTTACTTTTTATTGGCAGCACATGCTCGGAATGGGACCCTCAGAGTAACCGAGACACAGTTCTGTTACCTCAGGTACTTAAAGGGAAACTCCAGGCACACAGACCACTTCTGCCCATTGGAGTGGTCTGGGTGCCAACTCCCACTACCCTTAACCCTGCAAGTGTAATTATTGCAGTTTACATAAACTGCAATATTTACCTTGCAGGGTTAAGTCCTCTTCTAGTGGCTGTCTACTAGACAGCCACTAGAGGACACTTCCGTGTTCATAGAACACGAAAAGTGTGTTATAACGACGCTGGACGTCCTCACGCTATGTCTAAGGTCTAATGCGCGTGGTCTCCCCCATCCGCCGGCTGCGCATGCGCAATAGGTCTTCCCTGCAGGCTGACGTCGGCGGGGGAGGAGCGTAGGCAGAGCCTGACCCAGCGCCGAGGGACATCGACTCTGGATACAGGTAAGTCACTGAAGGGGTTTTAACCCCTTCAGCAACTTGGGATGGGGGTGGGAGGGAGAGGGGACCTGCAGAGCCAGGAAAATGGTTTGTTTTCCTGGCACTGGAGAGTCCCTTTAAAAGTGGCACTCACACAGGCCCGTGTTTCAATCCCCTCTTATTTGGGGACTTGTCAATGTCCACTTTATTTTTAACAATGTTATTTTGAAGACATCGGTCTAACACGTAGCCAATCAAATGGTTTAATTTCTCATGCTACCAGATGATTTTCAATGTACCACATAATAGTCCAGGTTACTTAACACTGCTTTGAAATTGTTTTTCTATACTGCATACTCTATCTCAGCTCCTGAGTTGAGCAACATAATTATCTTCTCTCCAGAACTCACATTAAAGGGACACTATAGTCACCTGAACAACTTTAGCTTAATGAAGCAGTTTTGGTGTATAGAACATGCCCCTGCTGCCTCACTGATCAATCCTCTGCCATTTAGGAGTTAAATCCCTTTGTTTATGAACCCTAGTCACACCTCCCTGCATGTGACTTGCACAGCCTTCCATAAACACTTCCTGTAAAGAGAGCCCTATTTAGGCTTTCTTTATTGCAAGTTCTGTTTAATTAAGATTTTCTTATCCCCTGCTATGTTAATAGCTTGCTAGACCCTGCAAGAGCCTCCTGTATGTGATTAAAGTTCAATTTAGAGATTGAGATACAATTATTTAAGGTAAATTACATCTGTTTGAAAGTGAAACCAGTTTTTTTATTCATGCATTCTCTGTCAATCATAGCCAGGGGAGGTGTGGCTAGGGCTACATAAACAAAGTGATTTAACTCCTAAATGACAGTGAATTGAGCAGGGGAATTGCGTGTGCGTGTGTTTTTTTTTTTTTTTTTTTAACCATGCTCCTGGCAGTGAGCGCTCCCAAGACAGACAGCATCCCTGCTCTGCAAACATTATCTCTGTCCTGTGCAGGCAGACACTCACATTGCTTTGCAAAGCTACAGAGTTCAACAGACTGTGTGCGGTGATAGCTCAGATACTAATCCTGCTGTGTACAATGACAGGCAGACGGTAGCCAGCTCTGTGCTGGGATAGCTCCACTTCCTGTAACACCGTGTACCATGTGACCGCAGTACTATGCCAGGCCCTGCCTTACAATAAGCAAACATGTGAACAGTCGCTCAGTTACGTCACAGGAAGTGAATGCTACGGAGAAGGCGGAAGTGTCTGTGAAGTTTAATCCTTTGGTTTCGATTAGTTCGCAGTCACGTAAACGCGGTGACGTCACCCGGCTTGTCCCCTGGTGGGAAGTAGTCTGTCCTGAGAGTTGCTTTAGGGGACATCATTGCCATTATGTTGCAGTTTATAGTAAGTATGGTTTATCCTGTGTGTGGCCTCCATAGCACCAGAGAGCAGCTCGCCCTGTGTGTTAGGATAGAGTCACTCCTGATACAGGACATTATTATTATCTTCTTGTCCTATCTTGTTAGTGGATGGTGCTGGCAGTAAGTTATCTGTCTCTATAATTACCAGACACAACAAGTAATACCATGTTTAATACAGGAGGGGCAACACCTCGCTCAGTACGACATTTATAATAACACACAAACCTCCTTCCCAGGGTCATTTTCTAAATCAAATAATAGAATTCCAAGGACAAAATGTGGGACAGCATTGCTAATCAGGAATAATTCACCAAGTCCTGCTGTTAAGTAATTCATTTTATTCATAACAATTCACTGTTTGTATCCCTTGGTATTATGATGTAATCTAATTATGTTCTAATACCTGCAATGCATCTTCATCTGGCCATGATAAAAAAAACTAAATGTATGTACGCAGTGATGTGCTTTTTTTTCAGTCCATGCCAATGTGCTTGGTTGTGTCTACATGACTGTGTTTTTCTATTCGTGGGTTTTTTTTTGTTTTTTTTTCTGTGTTCCTAAATGTTTGTATAAATTTTTTTTGTTTTTACTGACTGGCTTCCCACACACACAGATGTATTAATGATCAAATATACAATTTGTATCCATGCAGGCCGTATAAAATCGTATGAATCATCTGGCAACATATAGAATGTATTTTTTTTTTTTATTTTTTTTAACACAGGTTTTATATATGTGTATCTGTTTTTAAATATATTTACTTGAAATCCAAACTAAACACCAAAAGTTAAAATAGTGGCTGCTGTATTCTATGAATATATGTAAGCCCTGGCATAAAAACACGTAAACTTACACGTATAATTGCATACCTACACATAGCTCTACACACAGACACATATATATTTGTACACGGACAAAGAATGCTACCCATTTACACACAGGTGGCATTTTTTTAAATTTATATTTGCAAAGAGAAAAGCAGTCCCATATGTAATGCATATTTGTTGACATACAGAACTGCACAACATTTTATCAAAATATATGTAAAGCTTTTCATTTAGGGATTTATTCCATAAATGCAAAATTGTAGTGAACGGAAAACCAAATTGCTGAAATTCTCACTAAAAGCTGAAGTTAAAGATTTGGAAAAAGTCTGCAATTCAGCTGAATTTACTGATTGACTATTTTTTTGGAAATTAATACCATACATTCTGGAGTCATTTATAATCTACTCAACTGCTGTAATTCTAAAATAACTAGCACTTGACCATTAAGACAAAATGTTTGAGACACATATAGACAAGTCAAAAGTCAGAAACCACCCAGATATGTATGTTACAGGCAATAATCTTACAGCTATCATGGTGGGTGTAGAAGTTCATTTCACAACATATATTTTTAATAACTTTTTTTTTTTTCTTCTTCTTCTAGTTGGGATTTGCCTTTGGGAATGTGGTCGGCATGTATTTGGCCCAAAATTATGAGGTAAAGTCTCTTCCCATTTGCCTTTTTACACACAAAGATAGAGAACAGGCACATACCAGCTATATATTTCACTATACAGGTGGTCCTCATTTAACAACCTACTTGTTTTACGACGGCTCTCACTTACGACCACACTTAAGTGCGAGCCGTCGTGGGGATTCCCTGCTCTAGTACATATGTCTATATTTGGGGAAACTTCCCCGAACATAGACGAACGCACCAGAGCATAGAATCTCTTAACTCCTCACCGACCAATTTGTTCTATGACCTGGTCGTAGGAACGGAACCCGATCGGTAAGTGAGGTGTCGGTACTGCTCATTTGTAGGCACAAGGGTTTGGATTTTTACAACATTTGTAATATTCCAACATTTGGAAAGAGTTTGTTTTTGTCTATTGATAGGACTAGCAAAATTTCAGATCTTTGTGGTCCAAAATTAAGATGAACCCCTTGGAGGGGCTTGGACTTATTAATGGCACTTTGAAAGTACACAATCTAGCTTTAAAGGGACGCTCTAAGTACCCAAACAACCTTTGCTTCCTCACACTTGCTAGAAAAGAATTGTCTTTATCTAATGCTCTGTTAATGACCTACTAAGTTGTGTTGGGATAAAGTTCAATTAGCAGAGCATTAGACTTCTAAAGAAAACAGGATCTGATTGAAAATAAACTATTTTGTTTCATGGAGACTGTGTGAGTTACAACAAGGAGAGGTGTTAGGGTTTTATAAATCGAAACAAAGTGGAATTCTAATATGGCAGATAATTAAGATGTGAGACTGCAGGGGCATGATCTTTACCAGGGCTGCCAAAAAGGTAGATCCTTTGATGTTGTAGAACTACGACTCCCATGATGCATTGCATGCCTTTGGAATGTCAAAGCATCATGAAAGCTGTAGTTTTAAAACATGTAGGTGTACCTTTTGGGCAATCATGGTCTAATAGAATTGCTTAATTTAACTAAAGTTTTATTTTTGCCTAGTGTGTATGTTCTTCTATAAAGATGTGGCACATTTTCCTCTGATCAGTTTTTTTGAAAGATACATGAAGAACGAAACCCAGTATTTCTAGGTCCAGTTATGGTTTGAAGCTTACTATAGTCTTAAAAGGGGCTCAGTCACACAAACAAATTTTAAAATATGAGATTTTCAAAAAGAATCTTTAGAAAATGCTTATATTGACTGCATTTCCCTGTCATTAAAATTCCAACACAATCAAAAGATATCATAGGACAAAGTAATCTTGTGGCAGAGACTCAAGTTGACAAAATTGGGAAAAACAGAGCTTGCGCCATCAATTTTTTCGTAGTTACCACAGCTCATCAAAAGACTTAGTCTATAGAGACTCCTACAGTCTTCCAAAGACATCAAGATTATACTTTCATGCATAGGTGAGTGTACTGGACTAACATGGTCTCCTGGCGTATGATGCTCTAGAAATTGAAGAAAGAAGATGGCTGGAGACAGGGTCAGGTGCAGATTTTAATAGGAAAGACTTTTTTAAAGCAATAGTTTAGAAACAAAAAAAAAAAAAAAACACACACTGGTCTCTTGCACTCGCAAACGATATTATAGGAAACCAAAATGTTTTCCATTTGTCCTTGTGGCAGTCTTTTACCCCTATTCTGTTCTATTTCGACGTATATCATTTTGTCACATTAGCTTGCAATTTTATAGTAATGAGGGAGTCTCTCGTTGTAGATTTGGTGGCCAAATGTTATATTGATATATATTTTGTAAAGCCTATCGTTGGGAGGTATAAATATGTTAACCCATAGACCCTGACTTTTTATTTTGCTTAAATACATATGTATGTATATTAACTTGCTGTGTTTTATGATATATTTTATTTGTTTGCTTAGGTTCCAGATATATCCAAAAAAATTGAGAACATTAAAAAGGATTTGGAAGCTAAGAAAAAGCCACCAAGTGATTGACCTTAGTACATAATCTTGATCGGTCTAATTCATGGATTCCACGGTTTATGGAAAAGCTAGGGGTGGTAAATGAATGCATCTGGACATCTGAGGTTTCCCTTGTACTGCTGCATTAGACACTACTTTGCAGGGTGAAATGTATGGAATTGTCTTACCAGTATTCTCATCTAAAGTTGTATATGATCCAATGAGGCCTTTGGTTATGTAACTCAATACATAGAATTTCAGATTTGATGGCTTGCAGTATATCAAGAGTGCTTGCAACAGTAGTATGTGGTCTCTTGACAATCATTTTTATAGTGGCTTATAGCTTTAATAGGAGTAAATAAAATCGATATTTGAGTATATGAGAATGTGTTGTTTTTTTTGAGTTTCTGTTCTCCTGCTAAAAGTGCCATCAGACAGTACCAGTAGTCTTGGCAGCAGAAAAGTTCAATGTTTGTGGCTTTTTTTTTTTCTTTCTTTTTTTTTTTTTTTTAATTTAGTGGCACCCTAACACCTTTTCACTGTGATGATTCAGAGGGTTGTCTAAACATGTTATCTTGAGTTTTCAGCCAATAAATCTGCTCCAAAACCAGATCACAATTGATCAGTAATGCAGAAGTAGAGATTTCTACTATAGTGATGTCTGTAAATAGAACTAATGCGATTCAAAAATTATTTAACACTGAGATGGTGCCAGCCCCAAATGCCTCTCCAAGAATCTACTTTTAGAAGTATAAAAAAAATCTTAAAAAGTATAAAATTTTAACAATGTATACAGATAAATTGCGATGAGATTAAAATGCATTATCGTGTATATTATAGTGTCTATGTATCCACCAAAAAGCACACACTTGACTGGAAATATGCTTCAAATAATTTGTTGGGCTTTATTTCTCCCCCCGCCCCTTCCCTTTCTTGCAAACCCTGTTATACTATTTGCTTGCTACATATAGACTGTTAGTCCTTTTTGATTTGAATGTATTGTTTCATTACTTTTATTGAAAGGTTCAACAAATCCCATGTTGCCATGGCGACTAGGAGTTTTGTCCTAACACCCGGGTGTTTGTCAGCCCCTCGAAACAGCCGGTTTAGGGAGAATGGAGGCAGGTGGCAAGGGAGCTGTGATCTTCTTTTTCTGTTCTCACACACCCTGCTGTGATGTGGGTAGCCGGAATATGACATCACACCAGCCCTGGCATCCCTAAACGATGTGTGACTGAGCAGAACAAGAACAGTTTGATGATTACTTCAACCACATTGGACCTCAGAGAAGGATCCTCCCAGCTCTCCCAAAAGTAGGGACGCTGGGTGAACATAAATTAGAATAAAACTGTGACGCAGTGCCCTTCGCCACTTGTGCCTGAAGTGGACTACTTGCCAGCCTCTTGCCATGTGACTATGGCCCCTGGGAGACTTTGCCCTGTGTAAGCATTATGTGGGCTTATTTGAGTTATTTTTAAACACTTTTTCTGCCCCTTTGAATACATGAGAAGGTGTGCCCCTCCCCGTTTCCTGTCTTTTGTTCTCCAGCAGGGCGTTGTCACAGGGACACTGCCAGACCAGTTGGAACTTGTTGTTAAACTTTAACCCCATGGCGATTTGACTGTGTTTGTGGGATCTGAGCGCTGTTCGGATATAGTGAACGCTCAGATCCAAGTTATCTGGGGATAGGTTGAATGTGGGGGTTCTGTTCAGTATGATAGGAATTATGTATTTTTATGTGTTTTTACTGTTGTAAATGGAGATATTTTCTGTATCCTGGAGATAATTAGCTTACCACACCCAAGCCATGCTTGCAGTTGGTCAAAAAGGGATTTCCAACTAACTTTTGAACCACTGGACCAATTTGTATGATTTTGACATATGTTTGTATTTTGAGTATGCTGATTCTGAAAAAAATGTAAGTTGTAAGAATGTGATGTATACTTTTAAAGTTATGAATATTGTGTATTTTTCTGACTGTGATAATTACGTCAGCCATTGTGTTCAGTAATTATATAACAGGCAGAGGGGAGGATTTTGTGTGTAATTGCTGGGAGTGTCTGAGTGTATTGTACGTATTGATTGGTTGTTCTGTAAAATGTGTATATAAGGCCAATAAAGACACAGCTCAGTCTGTTCCTGCTTGACCCTCAAAATGGAGCCTTGTCTCGTTCTTGGTTCGACTGCTAGGAGTGTAAACCTATTCGTATGTTTTTTCCTATTCGGCTGTTCACGGCATTCATATGGTTTCCTGTTCGGCGGATTGGTCTCTTTGGTAGCTGCCTATATATCTGGAAGGGAATATTCTCTAAACCCCTTTTATGCCTGGGGGTGCCGTTACAAAAACATATGATCAGAATTTGTGACAGTGAGTGTGTCTGTTTAGGTTACTGGCCCCCCTCCGATCACAAATGTGTTTTTAATTATTGTTTTGTTTCCCACGCCGTACCTGTCTTGTAGCAGCTGACCCACCACTATGGCTTAAATCAGGGGTGCCCAAAAGGTAGATGCCCAGATGTTTTAATACTAAAGCTTCCATGATGCTTTATCATTCTAAAGGCATGCCAAGCATCATGGTAGTTATAGTTCGTTCTATAACATCTGGGTATCTACCCTTTGGGCAGCCCTGCCTTAGATCATCAATCTTGATGACCACAGCCAATCCATTGTAAAGTACATGCGTGGCAAAATGCTGCGCTGCGTCAATCAGCATCTCCTCATAGAGATACATTGAATCAATGCTTCTTTATTGGGAACATTCAGCGCCTCCATGCAGAGCGTGGAGATGCTGAACATAGGTGTTAGGAAGCACCTCTAGGGCCATCTGAGTGACTGTCACTGGAGCTGTTACTGGTCAGCAGTTAAACAAAGGCAGTGTTTACATTGAAAAGCCTAGAGGGACAGGCTATAGACACCAGAACTACTACATTAAAGGGACACTCCACTGCCAAAATACAAAATAAAAATAAAAAATCACTGTTTGGTAGATATGTCCCAAATGAAAACTTTTTCATTGGAGTTATATCCAAAAACAGAATGCAAAAACTGCAGATCCCTTGTCTGCAGCCTTTGCAAGCTCTCCTCTTCTAACCCAATGCAGCTCAATAAGAAGTCTTTGCATGTCACATGCTCTGGGCAATTGCTGCCTCTTGAGTTCATTGCAAATAAGCTAACCAAACTAGGATGTAGCAGGACAGTTTGTCTGATTGAAAAGCCAGGGGGGTGTTACCAGCATAATCTACAAAAATGTTAATTTCTATGAGAGATCTGCCCCTTTTGCAAAATGACACACTCTTCACACATACAACTTTTCAACAAGCTAGAGTGCTTTAGTGGTCTGGAGTTTCCCTTTAAACTATAGTGTCTCTTTAAGAATTGTATTTTTCTTTGAAAATAAAACTTTGCTAGTTTAAAAAACAAAACAAAACAAAAAACACCTGGCTCCCAGATTCCAAGCAAATTTGTCAAGCCCTGCTTTGTGTCTTTAATCTTTATAGCCGATCTTGGTTCCCTGTTCTCAAGTATCTTGTGTATCTTCACAAGATTACTATTGTAGTTTGATGTGTATCTTTTTTTTATTACATTGTGTATGTTTTAGTGTATACATTAGGGATGTGCATGGGGAGAAATTCTGAACTTCGGTATTTTGGAATTTCCGGACGGCTCTTGCAGCCACTTAGTAGATAACTCCCTAAATACCAATAAGAGGGGGAGGGGCTATTGACCCTTTCCCCCCCTGCCCCCTGAAACCCCTAGTCACCCCCCTCCCAACAAAATTAATCCCTACCTACCCCCCTCATCCTAAAAATAGTGAGGGGGGGACCAATAAATAGGTACCTGTAAAAGTTTTTTCTTAAACTTACCATTTGATGTCTTTTTTTTCTAAAATCTTTTTTTTTCAGCCCCAAAAAAGGGCAAATATAAAGTCGCACGTTAAAAAAAAAAAAAAACCAGAGCGCAAAAACAACAATCCATTTTTACCCATGGAGGGCACCGCGCAGACTGAGCTGCGCAGGGTGAGGGAAGGCTTATAAAGCCTTGCCCCGCCCTGCAATTAGGCTCGGAGCACGCTGGTTGGTTGGTTTAAGCCATCCAATCAGAGTGCTCTGACAGGTGAGTCTCTACATTTACCTGTCACAGTACTCTGCTTAGCTTGAAATCCAGCCAATCCGTGCGCTCTGTGTCATTTTACACAGCGAGGGAAAGTTCTTTGGAATTTTCCCACGCTGTGTAATTTGACTCATAACAACACTCTGGTGGATTGAAAGTAACCAATTGGAGAGTTATGAGTCAAATTACACAGGCAGGTCACTGTTTAATAGACATGCCTCTACTCGCAGTATAGTGGTCTTTCAGCCTTTTAGTAGATAGCGCCCTAATACCGTGGGAAATAGGGAGTTATCTACTTATTCATTCCTGTCATTCCATTGACTGGCTAAGTAATTTACATTTTATATGAATGTGTGTTACTTGATTGTTGTAAGTGTTGCAAATGCTTACGGCTGAATCCTGGCTGTTTGTTTGTATACTTTTTATTTAAACTTGTATACAGTGTAACATTCTTCATTCTTCCACTGGGTAGGTATATTAGTACTTCAGCAATTCGGACATTCTGAAGTCTCTGAATGTCCGAATTGCCCGAAATTCGTCCGAATTGACATTCGGAATGAAACGAATTGCACATATCTATATACATTTGTGTGATACATGTAATACAAAAATGCCCTACATCCAGAACAGGTGAGGGGTAGAAAAGAGGTACTTAACTTATTACAACAAAACAGCTTCCCAATAGGCCTTCTCCTGTCACACCTCTAATATGACAGATGTATATAAACAAAAACTGGTATACAGCTAGATTTAAAATACAGAAGATAAACAATGCATAGACATTAGTGATGTCGCGAACGGTTCGCCGCAGACTCATCATTGAGTAAACTTTGACCCTGTACCTCACAGTCAGCAGACAGATTCCAGCCAATCAGCAGTAGACCCTCCCACCTCCAGGACCGCATCCATTTTACATTCATTGTGAAGCTGTATTCTTAGTGAGCTGTCCAGGAGGTGGGAGGGTCTGGGAGGGAGGGTCTGCTGCTAATTGGCTGGAATGTGTCTGCTGACTGTGAGGTACAGGGTCAAAGTTTACTCAATGATGAGTCTTCTGAGAACCGTTCGGGACATCACTAATAGTCATGTATAGTTCAACTGTGAAAACACGGCAATAATTGGTTGCTTTCACAAGATAGAACTGAAATGAAGCTGCCAGGACCTATGAAGAGAGCTGGTCTCTCTCCTCAACAATAAATCAGATCGGTGAGAAATCAAATCCATCTGGAGAATTCTTCAGTCAATATTTCTGGATCAGCACTATATGAAAGGGGCTCAGTGAGAGCTGGGATTATGCATGTTGTGATTTTATTCATTGCTGTTTATTTATATCTCTGAAGAAGTCCATCTCTAATGGACGAAACGTGTTAGATATTTTACATTTTTTACATTGAATTTTTAGATATCGGGTGATTTGTGCCTAATAAAATATACCCATTTTTTTATCTAATCCAGAGTTCCTGTGCCTGCTGCATATCCATCTTGTGAGTGCAACCAATTATTGCCTTGTTTTCACAGTTAAACAATACATAATGATATATAGTTAATCTTCTGTATTTTAGATCTAGCTGTAGCCCAGTTTTTGTTTTACATGTATCTATCTGCACCTTTGTGCTCAGTTTATCATCTCTAAAAAAAATTTGCACTAACTTTTTAACCTCTTCCATTTATAGCTTGGTGGTTTATTTATTTGTATTGCTAGTCCTATATGCCACATGGGCTTCTTGGATTCCAAACTTCTCTTTCATGATCATTTAGCCTCGGTTCTACTTTTTTTTTTTTTTTTTTTAAATTTATTTTACCTTTTTCTCACATCTGCACCCTCTTTTTCAATTTTTCCTCCTTATATAACCAGTGATTGTGTATTGTATATATTTATCCTCATGAATGTCCCTGTGAAGCAGGGCTCGACAAATCCCAGGTCGCCATGGCAACTAGAAATTTTGTCCTGGCGCCTGGGATTTGCCAGCTATATAGTTAATGTGGCCGCTGGAGCTTTAAAGGCGGCCGTCGCGGGGAATATTGGAGCCTGCTGCACTGGAGAGAATGGAGACGGCCGGCCGCCCTGGGTAGCATGCAAACGGCCAGTCGAGGCAGCAAGGAAGCAGTCGGTCACCCTGAGGAGCATGGAGGCGGGCAGCTGAGGCAGCATGGAGCCGGCCGCCCGCAGTGCATTGTAGGCAACGTACGAGGGAGCAGTACTTTTCCTGTAGCTCCTCTCTGCTCCCTAGAACTGTCTAATGATGCTGGGAGCTGGAATATGTAATAGAAAAAAAGGGTAGGGTCGCACTCAGCCACAACAATTCAGCCCAGGTTGCTACTGAGCATGGGTCAGCAAAAAACCCCAAAGAATATGTACAAATAGAAAAATCTCAGGCTCTCACTGCGAATTGTTTAGTGATATATTTATTTAAAAGATCTGTGCATATATAATTGTTTATGTGATTTTGTGTAAAACCTGGACTGCTTGTCTTTTTCTTTTACTATCTGTTTCAGCCATTTTTCTCTTTATTCCTTACCATGTCTTTTTTAAAGTTTGATATATTAATTGTATTATTTTTAACACTTGTTTGTCTAATGAAATTTCTAATTGCCTAATTGTTTACTTAACTAATTGTTTGTTTGTAACTTGTGTGTATGTAAGTGCAATTTTGTCACTGTGGTGTTAGCTTGATAAAGACCTTAACAGGTCAAAACGTTGCAATAAATCTGCCTGCAAACAATTCGCAGTGAGTGCCTGAGATTTTTCTATTTGGGATCTGGAATATGACATCACTCCGGCCCCGGCATCATTACAGAGAGCGCGAGGGAGCAGAGAGGTGCTACAGGCAGTGTACTCCTCTCTCACACGCAGGAAGAGAGCAGCCCCAGTTGACCCCAGGGAAAGACCCACTCAGCTCTCCCAAAGGTAGCGCCGGTTCAATTAAATAAAAAATGTAAGTGTGTGTGAGCCTGTCAGAATATGTGTGAGCATATCAGTGTGGGTGTGCGCGCCTGTCAGTGTGTCTGAGCCTGTCAGAGTGTGTGTGTGTGTGAGGCTGAGGGGGGTTCAATTTAAACACAATTTTAAGTGTTTGTGAGCCTGTCGGTGTGTGTGTGTGTATGTGTGCCTGTCCGTGTGTGCAAGCCTGTTGTCAGAGTGTGTGCGTGTGCGCGTTTAGGAACTTCCCCCTCCGATCGAATGAGGAAGGTATTTTTACTCACCTTTTTTCCCACGCCCTGCCAGTTTGCTGCGGCTGGTCCTACCTCCATGGCTGAGATTATCAATCTTTATGATCTCCACTAAACCAACACCTTCCCTTAGGAAAGCATTGGGAGGATTTTGTGCATGCACAGCAAATGTGCCAATCCGCATCTCCTTATAGAGATGCATTAAATTAATTAATCTCTATGAGGAACATTCAGCGCCTCCATGCAGAGCTTGGAGACACTGAACGTAGGTTCTGCACATGGTGCAGCAGTGACCCAGTGGCCAATTCTAGTGGCCGTCTGAGTGACTGTCATTGATTTTTCTCGTTCGTTAGATAAAGCTACCGAAAACCGACCACCCCCCTAGCTCATCAACTACAAAGAAAAACCTCAGATAACGTGCTCTCCCTGTGTGGTTGCCATTCGTATGGACAGCGCTATTCTGTAGTTTTGTTCCCACAAATTAGGGGAACAAATGCTACACATGAGCCAGGCGAACAGTTTGTGAATTTGTTTGGTTTTTAGACTTCCCGAAATGGACCGACTGCCACCTGTGCAGTCGGTCAAATTATGACCTCCATGGAAATCCTGAACCAATCTGGGGGATTTTTGGATATGTTGGTCCCCCAGATTGGGGCTATCAGGGATATGACTTTGAGGGATTCCATGGGTTTTAAAGGTACTTTCTGTTTTGTTTTTTTAAACCCCGTGCATGGGGGCCTGAATAAATTAATTCCTGTTGTACCCTTCATCTGTTTGGGTATCTGTCTGATTTGCTTGGTGAATTTACTTGGATGCTGTGTTTCTTCTGGAGAACGTTCGAATCAACACCCGAACTGCAAGCTACAATCACTGAAATACCAGCGTTCGTTACAAACGACATCAAGCTGTAGTGGTTCTGGTGACTATAGTGTCCCTTTAAGAATTGCATTTTCTCAATGAAATTGACTGGCTCCAAACTTTTTTAGCTGGCTCCTAGATTCCAAACAAATGTGTCAGCCCTGGTGTGAAGACTGAAATGTCAATGCCATTATTATGTGAATGAAGCCCGAACATTTTTTTTTAACCATAAATCCACTCGAGGGCACTCTGTGTGGTGGATATATTTTGGATGTAAAACTGCACACTGGTTGAAACTGTTGACTCTTTGAGTGCTGTATTGTTATATGTATATGTTTATATATCTATGTTGCCATCATGTTTATAAAAAAGTTTTTTAGAGTAAAATAGTGCTTTGTATATATGTATATATTTAGCATATTAAATAATGTAGCTATTTAACAAAATGAAAACAAAGATTTTTCGTAGTTTTGGTTATAATATTTCCAATTCTAACTTTGTCCACTGTGGGATTTTTATTGTGTATCGTTTCACCAGAATCCTTTTGGCACCTCGTCATATGCTTTCAGAGACTTTTCCAGACTAGAACCAGCACAGTGACAAGATCAGTAAGGTCAAAATTGTAGTCCATAGCTGGGTTCTGGTCATTTGTCCTTTTGGATCACAACCCACGCTGTAGTTTAAAAAAAAGGTTTGTTTAAAACTGTGTCCATTGTGAAGTGTACCTGCAGAAATGAAGATTAAATTCTTACACACAGCGCTTGTTGGTGCTCATTTGCAGGCCCGTTGCTACCAGGCAAGCAAACCAAGCAATTGCTTGGGGCCCCGAGCTGGCCTGGGGCCCCGAGCAGGGCCGGCGCTTCCTATAAGGCTGCAGCCACCTGAGCACTCTAAAGAGAGCCTCAGGCGGCTGCAGCACTGCCTCTCTTGTCCCCTTCCCTTCCCTGTAGTCAGGGCCGGCGCTACCTGTAAGGCGGACTAGGCAGCCGCCTTGGGCGCCCCTTGGGAAGGGGCGCCGCCAGGAGCGCCGGCCCCCCATGCTGCAGCCGCCTGAGCGCTCTGTAGAGAGCCTCAGGTGGCTGCAGCCTGAGGAGAGGCGCTGAGCGCTCCCTCCTGGCACTCCCTCTCTGTAGCGTGGCCGAGCCCAGTATAGTCCGCGGGTACAGAGTGTGCACTTCCTGTTAGTCCGGCCGGGTACAGGAAACAAAAGCTACCTGTACCCGCGGACTATACTGGGCTCGGCCCTGCTACAACTGAGGTAGGGAGGAAGGGGGAAGAAATTGGGAGGGAGGGGGGAAGAAGAAATTGTCATGGGAGGAAGGGGGAAGAAATCAGGCTGGGGAGTGGGGGGAGGAAATTGGGAGGAGGGGGGGGCAGAAAGAAAAATTGGGAGGGAGGGGGGAGAAGAAATTGTCAGAGGAGGGAGAAGAAATTGGGAGGGAGGGGGGAAGAAGGAATTGTTGGGGGAAGAAGGAATTATTGGGGGGGAGAAGAAGGAATTGTTGGGGGGGGAAGAAGAATTGTTGGGGGGGTAGGAGGGAGAAGAAGAAATGGGAGGAGGAGGGAGAAGAAGAAATGGGAGGGGAGGAGGAGAAGAAGAAATGGGAGGAGGGGGGGAGAAGAAATTCTCAGGGGCGGGGGGGAAAGAAGAAATTGGGAGGGGAGGGGGAGAAGAAGAAATTGGTAAGGGAGGGGGGAGAAGAAGAAATTGACAGGGGGGAGAAGAAGAAATTGGTGGGGGGAGAAGAAATTGATGGGGTGAGAGTGACAGGGGAGGGAGGGGCAATGAGAGTGGGAAGGGGGAGGGGAGAAGAGAGTGACAAGGGAGAGGGGGGAGAAGAGAGTGACAAGGGAGGGGGGAGAGATTGACATCCATCACTCACACATGCAATGCACCCCTTACACACAGGAAAACACACAATGCATTACACACACAGACACACACACACACACACACATAAACAATGCAACCCTTACACACAATGCATCCCTTACACACACTCAATGCACCCCTTACACACACTCAATGCACCCCCTACACACGCACACACTGCATCCTGTACATACACAGAAACACACCTTGCAGCCCTTACACATACAAACACAGATTCACACAATGCATTCCTTACACACATATCAGGATATCCCCTACACACTCCACCCCCTGTGAACAAACTCATTGGTGGAACATGAAGGTGGACCCTGGGAGCCAGACCTTGAGCTGTGTAAAGGGCCCCCAAAAAATGGAGCTGCTTACCGTTCTCCCAGAACATTGATTTTTGTGACCACGGTTACAAACAGCCTCCAGAGAGCCTGTTCTACACCAGACCAGTGGAGCCAGACTGCAGCTAGAGCCCATCATCATCCTCATCTCGTTTTAAGTAGGCAATCTAGTATATTATTCGTGGCACTAATTTACCTCACATTAAAGAAACACTATAGTCCCCAGAACCACTGCATCTTAATGTAGTTGTTCTGGTGTCTATAGACTGTCCCTTCATGCCTTATAATGTAAACACTGTAGCACTGGCGTTAGTTATCATGGCAGATCATATGGGTGGAGCATTGTGATGTCACATGGGGGGGGCGGCAAACTTTACTTTTGCCTAGGGCGGCAAAAATCCTTGCACCGGCCCTGCCTGTAGTGTGGCCGAGCTCCTCTTCCTCCTGTCAGTCCGGCCAGGTACCGTGCGGTACAGGAGATTCAGTTTCCTGTTCCCGGCCGGACTGACAGGAGGAAGAGGAGCTCGGCAACGCTACAGGGAAGGGGAGGTGAGAGTAAGGGGGGGGGGGGGCCCCATGTCCATTTTGCTTGGGGCCTTAAAAAGGCCTTGCTCATTTGTATATCAAGCTAGGAACTCTAGGATCATTTTGAAAACATGACTTGTTGGGTTTCAGTGCCCAAGGGGCACTTTCCTAAGTCCAACTTAAATATGCAGGTGATAAACAATAGTATTTTTTTTCTTCTATTTACACAATGAGGAGTTTTGGTTTTGATCTCACCACAAAAAGTCCAGCACCATAAAATATCCCCATGTAATCACTTCTTAGTCTTAACTGGAGCAATGCCTTGTGTATTGGATGTCAATCAATTTTTCAAAGATATAGTGCAAATATTTAAATAGGGGAATTATCGTTTTAAAGCTAAACATTTGGAAAATTTGGTGTGCTGGAAGCAGTCACAGAATCCAAAACTGCAGCATGGAAGTATTTCATTGTGGAATGTAGTCTCCTTCTGGGTAGTTTAGCTAGGAGCATTTTGACGCTATCTATGTAACGATTACCTCATCACAAACATACATTCATACAGTTCAACAGAATTAAGCCCTGCGCTCAAACTCACACTACTTCTAGGTGGGAGCAATGACTATAGAACACATCAACCCCAATAATACAAGAAAAAAACTTACTTGCGCATAATCCAAAATCCCTATGCACATTTAAATAACTGGAGTTAATTTGAGTTTAAGCACAGGGCTTAATTCTGTATGTTTGTATTTGCTTTTGTATTACATAGCCATGTTACAGTGCGACCACCCACACCATGTGTTCCCTATTAAGGGTTAATATATGTTTTGGGGTTTAGAAAAATATCTCTCTCTCTCATCACAGGTTGTTACCATTTAGTATATTACTTCATTAGTCTCTGTCAAACTTATGGTTATATTTCACTTTTGTGTTTTTGCATACAAGAAAACAGCCTGTCTAAGCCTGGAGCTCCAGCTCTGAGCATGCCCACCTTTAGATGGCAGGGAGACATAAAAAACATTTTTAAAAATATCCCTGGTGGTCCGTACACTATATTCATTGCAGTCCCTTTTGGTTGTAGCACTCTGTGAGGGAGTCAAAGGGTAGAATGGGAATCCTGGTACTTGCACTCTGCAGGCACCAGGATTCCCATTCTACCATTTGACTTCCTCACAGAATTACAGAAATAGAAATGGAGAAAGGGTGGCGCTAATAGAAAAACGTGCTACTATTATAGCATGCAGCAAAACACCTTAGTGTATAGTCACTACATACACTTACATATACAAATGAAAAAACAGGAATAGGTGATTGCGCAGGTAGCTTATGAGTCCACAAATTTGTGGTACGTCTCTAGGTTCTGTAAGAAAGGGCAGAGACTTGAAACACTGCTGCAGGTCCAGGCTGAAAAGTAAGGAAAGTGGAAAATAAACAAACCTTCCAGAATGCCAGACTGGAAGCAGCAATTGATATGGTCCACTCCACCAGGGACGTGTCTTCCGCGAGGCAAACAAGGCATCTGCCTTGGGCGGCACTTTGCAGGGGGCGGCAAAAAAAGCTACCCCCAAATGCCCAGGCAGATCCCTTGTTTGCCTCGTGTCCTGGGGAGCTCAAGAGCTTGCCGACTGGCCACTTTTGAGCCCCCCCAAGGTGGGCGGCGGGCAGTGAGGGAGCATACTCACCTGAGCTCTTCCTGCTCAGCTCCCTCCGCGCCGCTTAATGAAGCCAGGAGCCGGAATATGACGTCACTCCGGCTCCGGCTCGCAGTGCGTGAGGGAGCTGAGCAGGAAAATCAGAGCTCCCTCGCCGCCTGCTCAGCCTGTCCGCCTCTTGCCTGCCCAACCAGCAACCCCACTGGACCGCAGGTAAGGAATCCACTCCAGCTCTCCCAGGGAGGCTGGGTAGATTTAAAATAAAATTTTAATATAATAATTTGTGAGTGTTGGGAGAAATGTGTATGTGTCTGTAAGTGAATGTGTGTGTGTTGGTCAGTGAGTGCGTGCGTCTGTCAGTGTGTGTGTCATTGTCAGTGCATATGAGAGTGCGTGTCTGCAATGAGTGTATGCGTCTATCTGTGAGTGTGCGTCTGTCAGTGAGTAAGCGTCCATCAGTCAAAGTGCGGCCTTGACAGGAAGGGGTGGGGAAAATTTCAATTAGGGGGGTACCCGAGCACCGTCCTGCCTAGGGCAGCACAAATCCTAAATACACCACTGCACTCCACCACTGACTTGTGACTGCACCAGTAGCCCACTGGACCAGCAGGGAATGCATTATTGCCCTTCCAGCCCAGGAGATAAGCAGGAGGCAGGGCAAATGTTTTACACACAAAAAAAATGCATTACAGTAAGGAGCTTCCTCATATATTACTCCCCCCACACAGAGTTGGATTGGGACAAAAATTCAGACCAGGCACTTAAAGGCAGAGCAGCAATTGCGCCCTCTGAGGCTCTCCCCTACTGGCTAATGCAGGGCTGGCACTGTCCAAGTGCCAGCCCTGCAATGTGCCTTCATGGACATTCATGGACCAGAGAGACCTTCCCTACCGGCTGCCAGCATGGTGCCTGCGGACCAGGGAGGGAGAGAGGACCTGGGAGCTCAGCCTGCAGCTCCTCCGGGTCCTACTCTTGCGAGCACGGAGCGTTGCTACGGTTACCATGGCAACGCTCTGGATCTCAAGAGTGAACTCTAGCCACTGCGACCACCAGGGATCTAGAAATGTCCCCCCTCAGTAAAGGTAAGAAGGGAAGAGGGACATAAATGTATTTTTTTTTTTTTATTAAAAATATTTTTTTTATAAAAAAAAGCTTCCCTCCCCTCCTCCCCACACATTCACACATTGCACCCCCATATACACACTGCCCCCATACACACCCTGTCCCACACACATTGCCCCCCCCATACACACACACTGCCCCTCATACACACATTTTCCCCACATACACTGCCCCCCCACACACACATTGCCCCCCATACATAGAACTGCCCCACACACAGCCCCTCCATACAGCCCCACACACACAGCCCCTCCATACAGCCCCACACACACAGCCCCTCCATATGGTGTGTGTAGCCCCTGGTGTACACACACCATACACATTCACATACTGCCCCTCCATACACATACTGCCCACATAACTGCCCCCCATACACATTCACACACTCCCCCCACACGCACACTGCCCCACACACACCATACACATTCACACACTGCACCCCCACACACACATACACAAACAGCCCCATACACACATTGCCTTACACACATACACATTGCCCCACACACACATACACAGCCCCTCATACACACATTGCCCCCCCACACACACTGCCACCCCCCATACACACATTGCACACATTCACACACTACTGCTCCTATGCCCTACAGCCCCATATCCCAGCAGACCCCAGGTAAGTTGTCAAACTGTTCTTAAACGGTTTGACTACTTACTCTGGGAGGGGATCCTGCCACTACTGGCACCATCAGGCTCTGGATCCGCCACTGCTGCGAGGTTGCATGTTGTGTCATCATCAATGACATACATGTCTCTACAAAGTGGGCATATATGCTTAATGCTCCTCAGGGCAGCCCATGTGTAGTGTGGAGGGGGGTGGCTAGTAGATATCAGTGTGAGATGAGGACAGGGGGACAGATGCTGCAGAGAGTGGGAGGGAGTCGAGGCTGCAGCGAGTGAGAGGGGAAAACAGGGTCTGCTGGGAGTTAAAAGGAGAGAGAGAGAGGGTCTACTGGGTGTGAGGGGGGGAGACCTTGTCTGCTGGGTGTTAGAGGGGGGAGACCATGTTTGCTGGGTGTGAGAGGGGGAGACAGGGTCTGCTGGGTGAGGGTGCCGGGTGGGAGAAGGGGAAACAGGGTCTGCTGTGTATGGAAAATGGGAGACAGGGTCTGCTGGGTGAGGGGGGACATGGGGCTGTTGGATGGGAGAAGGGGAGACAGGGTATGCTGGGTGTGAGAGGGGAAGACAGGTGATTGCAAGGATTGGGTGATTGGAGGGAAGGACATGGGGCTGAAGGGGAGACAGGTTGTGCATTTGGAAGCTATGTGGGAGAGGGGGAAACAGGGTCTGTTGGGTGGGATAACGGAAGACAGGGTGTGCTGGGTGAGAGAAGGGGAGACAGGGTGTGCTGGATTGGAGAAGGGGAGACAGGGTCTGTTGGGTGAGGGGGGACATGGGGCTGCTGGGTGGGAAAAGGGGAGACAGTGTCTGCTAGGTGGGAGGAGGGGAGACAAGGTCTGTTGGGTGGGAGAAGAGGAGACAGGGTCTGCTGGGTGGGAGACCGGGTCTGCTGGGTGGGAAGGGGTCTGCTGGGTAACAGAGGGGAAGACAGGGTTTGCTGGATGAGAGGGTTTGACAGGAAGCTGTGTGGGAGAGGGAGACATGGGGTAAAAAAAAAACAGCTCAATTTCAAATTACATATTTATTTAAAAAAACAAACAAAAAAAAACAATAGCTTTAAAGTTTTCTCCCCATCCTTCTTCTTTCTTACCTTGAGCATTGGAGGTAGGAGGAACTATTTTCCCTGTGTGGCGAAAGTGACCTCGCCACTGGTTTTTGGAGGGGCCTGTTTGCCAGCCTCCTGCCCTGCGACTATGGCCCTGGGATGTATTTCCCTTCTAGGAACTGATTTGGGCATATTGTATTTTATTATGCTGCTGCTGGCCCTTTAAGAACCACCTGGGGACATACTGTGGAGTTACTGGGTGGCCACCATTTCATGTATCAGAGGCACATGGTGAGAACAATGGATGGCGGCCATTTTAACTCACAGACACTGTTTGGACTTTTCTGCACGGTGCCATCTCGCCGGTATTTGGTGCACAAAGACATCGTAGTTTTAAACTATACAACAGGGGAAACTACTGAACGGATCTGGGTGAATTATGGATATTCACTACTAAGCTTTTTTAAGAGCTTGTTCCTGCTTCACTCTCTTGGAGGAGAGGCTCACCCACTGGAACCTGGAGCCTTGTCGTATGTCCAGGGTGGGTAGGAGACAGCGAGACCCCAACCAAGCTGCGGCGGTTCGTGGGGTCTACGGTGGTTGTGGTGTCTGGCGGAGCGCTTGGAGTCCTCTGTAAGCGCTAGGAGCATCCTTCAACGGAGGTACCCGTTGATCTGTTATACCCTGGTGGTCCAGTGAATAAAGAATCTGATCTACACCCCTTGGCAGGTGTACACCATGTGTACAGTGCCTGCGCTGTGCATCAGTGTGCAGGCTGGCGAGTGAGATTTTAAATCTCCTCACCGGCCACAGAGCAGCACCAGCTCCCCTCATCTTCCCTGTCGACCTTGACTCATTACCTTCGTGACCCACTAGGCATTTGCCCGGTTTGCCCGATAGCCAGTCCGGGCCTGCCCCCACACATTGTCTCCCTGTCACACTCACATCCCAGTCGTGTCCCATTCAATAGCCCTCTCACTCTGCCACAATATACCTGTAACACACACCCCCTAACACTATCATCACTCACCTCCCAACTTTCGCATTTACACTGTCACTCTCACCCTCTTCACATTGACACACTCACCCCATAATCATGTATATGTAGATATATACATAGACAAAGTTTGGTCCAGAAACACTGACACAAGATTTATTTCAGCTGTTTGCCACAATAAGTTCAAGTTACAGTTAAATAATGAATACGGGCTTAGAAAGCAGTCTCTCTGCTTTAATTGAGGTTATTCACATGCAAATTGGAGAAATGGTTGGGGAATTACAGCTCTTTAATATGTAGCACCTTCTTTTTCAAGGAACCATAAGTAATTAAACAATTGACTCAAAAGCTGTTTCATGGACCATTCCTTCATTATTTCTTCTTCAATTAAGCATGTAATAGGACTGGCGTAGATTCCAGGTGTGGCATTCGCATTTGGAAGCTGTCGCAATGAATCCACAACATGCGGTCAAAGGAGCTCTCAGTGCAAGTGAAACAGGCCATCTTTTGGCTGCAAAAAAACCCCCCAAAAAACAATCCACCAGAGAGATCGCAGGAACATAAATTTGGTAAATTTTGAGAGAAAAAATGCACGGGTGACCTCTGTAAACATAAAAGGCCTGAACGTCCATGGAAAACAGTGGTTGATGATTGTAGGATGCTTTCCACAGTAAAGAAAAAAATCCCTTAACATCCAGCCTAGTGAAGAACACTCTCCAGGAGGCAGGTATATAGTCATCCAAGTCTACCATAAAGAGAATACTTAATGAGAGCAAATACAGAAGGTTCACCACTATTTGCAAAGCATTCATAAGCCTCAAGAATAGAAAGACTAAACTTTGCCAAAAACCATCTAAAAATGCCAGCCCAGTTCTGGAACAGCGTTCTTTGGACAAATGAAACCAAGATCATACTGTACCAGACAGAGGTGTAACTAGAGACCACCTGACCCCGGTGCGGCAATTGTCCCTCCTGCACCCCCACACACGTGTCTAATTTTCTTCCCCCAGCCCCTCCACGAGTCTCATTTTCTCCCTCTCAGCTACTCCATAGCTAATTTTCCCGCTCCTCCCCCAGCCCCTCCATTTGTCTAATTTCTCCATATCTCCATTTGCCTCATTCCCTCTCTCCCCCCATTGAGCTCTCACTAACCCCCTTCGCCCCCCACCCAGCCCTCATTAACCCCCCTCACTTCCCACTAAACACAGAGAGACCGGCAGGAGGGGAGTGGCACCGGTGCGGCAGTGCACCGGTTGCAAGGGTTGCAGCTGGGACTGGACCCCCTGGAGTGACGGGCCTGGTCGCAGCTGCGACACCTGCGACCGTGGTAGATACGACACTGATACCAGAATATTTGGAAGAGAAAAGTATGGAGGAGGCTTGCAATGGTTCGTGATCCGAAGCACACCACATCATCTGTAAATCGTGGTGGCGGCGTTGTGATGGCATGTGCATGCATGACTTCCAATGGCAATGGGTTACTAGTGCTTATTGATGATGTGACAGAAGACAGAAGCAGGCGAATTAATTCTGAAGTGTATAGGGATATATTGTCTGCTCAAATTTAGCAAAGTTGATTTGACGGCGCTTCACTTTACAGATGCACAATGATGCAAAGCATACTGCAAAAGCAACCCAGGAGTTTTTTTAAGGCAAAGAAGTGGAATATTCTACAATGGCTGAGTCAATCACCTGATCTTAACCCCATCAAGCATGCATTTAATTTGCTGAAGACAAAGCCTAAGGCAGAAAGAGCCAAGAACAAACTACAACTGAAGACAGCTGCATTAAATGCCTGGCTAAGAATCACAAAGAAGAAAACCCAACATTTGGTGATGTCCATGTGTTCCAGTCTTCAAGCAGTTATTCGCAATTAACATTTTATTTATGGTTGTGTTAATTTGTCCAATTACATCTGAGTCCCTGAAATATGGGTACTGTATAGGAAAATGGTTGCAATTCCTAAACGTTTCATACAATATTTTTGTTCAACCCCTTGAGATATTTCCAGACCTAACTGTATATTAGTGTGTGAAGTCACTTTCTGCTTATTGTGCAAAAAACATAGTTGGTGCAGAAAAAACTGATTGGCTAGAAAAAGGTTAATCTATGCAATACAAACAACATCAAACATGATTTTCTTATAAATTACAACTTGCATTTGCATACCTCCGAACATTAGGAAGTACATATTCAAGGAAAGGAGTGGTTGGGCCTAAAGGGGCATGGCGGTGAGAACACTTTTGTCACTAGTAATACCATAAATGGATGGTCCTCTCCAGGAAGTGGTGCAGCTGCCTTGATAAGGCAGCCTCTGTGGCTGGTCTCACTCAAGGCAGATCATGCAGACAGGACTGCTGAAGCACTCTATATATGTTCCTGGTGCCCTCAACTCAGAGCGATCACATCTAGTGATTTAGTAGCACTGTGCCGCTTGAGGTCTGTGTTCTGGCATCCATGGATATGTGACACCAGGTAATGATATCGGACAATGGAACAGAAGTCTGAGACTGGGCATACACTTGGCTTATATTATACATTTATCGTAATTGTTAGATATTATTATTTTATTATTTATATAGACACGTAAATATAGTTAAATCTGCTTATAAAATACCAGACCATTTAAGATTTTAATATTTATGCAACAAATCACTTTATTTTATTTATTTTTTGCAAGAATATGATGTCATGGCATGATCTGTTTTATAACAGACAAAAATAAATGCATTGTTTTAAACTATTTCAAGCTACCCTTCATCTGTTTTCAACTGGTTATATTATTTTAGGGAAGCCATTTCAAACCAGTCTCAAAGGTTATACAAAAATAAATGAAAAAGTAGATGTATAAGATAATGCAGTACCGTTTCTCCCTCCCCCTCACCCCCCAAACAATATAGTAATAAAAAAGAAAATGTTTTACTTATGTGCAGCTGCTTCAAAACCACTATGGTTTTCCAATAAGAGCATGCATATAATACAGAGAAACAAGTATAACAAGCGCAATCCAGAATACCCAGTGTACCTAAGTGCTATGGTTTAATGAAGAACACCAGAAAAAGAAACATTTCAGGTAGACAACTCTTACTCAGTGTACACAATGCCCCACTCTCAAAAGGTTGGTAAAGGAACACTATGGCCACCCAGACCATTTCATCTCAATGAAGTGTTCTGTGTGCCATGCCCCTGTCATTCTAACTCTGTAATGTAAAACATTGCCGTTTTGCAGTATGGCGGTGTTTAAATGCAGGGCAGGACCAAGAATGTGCTGCCCACTCATCTCTTCACCAAAACAAATGACCACCAAATTTATGTTGTGCAGTTTGCATAGTGGATACACTGTGTGCATGTCTATATTGGATTTAGTGTCTGTGTGTAGTGAATACAATGTGTGTGTAGTTGATGCAACAATGTCTGTGTTTGTGTATTGTAAGCAATGTGTGTGCAATGTCTGTTTGTGTATTGTATGCAACATGTGTGGTGGATGCAGTCTGTGTGTGAAGGGGATGTAGTATGTTTGTGTTGTGTGCGTAGTGGATGTAGTGTGTTTGTATAATGGATGTGTTGTTTTCTGTAGTGGATGCAGTGTATCTGAAGTGCTTGTATTGTCTGTTTGTGGTATTGAACGTGTGTGTGAGAAGAGAGCAGGTTTTTTGTCTTTGTTTAAGTTTATTCCTCCCTCTCTGCCTCTTACCTGTGGTCAGGGAGGGGTACACTGGATTCCCTGGTGGTCACTGACAGCCACTAGAGTTGCTGCTATATAAATAGCCAAGTGAAACTCAGCTATTCCAATCAGATGGTCTCACAGACATTTTGTCACTTGCTTCCCAATTCTATGGTGTACATAAATATAAGCCCTAGCATACATTCTGCCAATAGGTATTAAGGAATCTTTACATGTTTACAGGGTGACTGGTAAAAGAACAGGTCAAAAATATATGTTATGCATTGATACCGGAAATTAAAGGGACAGTTATGGCACCATAACAGCTTCATCTAAGTGAAGTTGTGATAGTGCCAGGAGGCCCCCAGACACATTTATCTTCTCAAACGGTTTAACCCTAAAATTTCCTTCAGCACCAGTCTGACTAGAGGAAACTCTAGGGTTAAACCATACGTTTAACCCCTGAACTTCATTAGGTGAAGTTGTTACGGTGCCTGGAATGCCCCTTTATACGGTGGAGCATGCCAGCAGAATATGTATTATTCTAAGTAATATGACAGAGGCTGTAGGTTATGTCTTTTTTTTAATTGAACAAATAAATATGAAGAAGGAATATTTAAACCTGCTCTAATATACAATAGGCCTATGGTGGTATTCCTTTGGTTTGGTGTTGAAAGTGTGTCCTCCCCTTAGAAGGCAATCACATTACAGCCTATTCTTCATTCCCTAAATATTCATTTTTTTTCATCACATTCATAGATGATCAGTTGCATTTGTAACCGTGGCCCATTCAGGGAAATCATTCAGTTGGAAGAGGCTGATCCCCCAAGTGTTAATAGCGACCATAATGATTCCCAGACCAATAACATTTACACCCAGTCCTGCTTTCACCTAGAAAAACACAGAAAATATAATTACTGCAGGCACAGACAGAATACTTAAAAATAACTATACATTTTATTGTTTATTTGTGAATTGCAACTTAAAGCAGAGGCAAATTATTTAAAATGGACCTTTTGTACACAATCCTATCTTTCTTTTCACTATTAAACACATTTAATGGTGTGATGCTTGTAAAGATATTCACTAAAGGGAGAATTGTCTGGAATTCTAAGTGAATTAAAAGAGAATTCAAATCCAAGGCCACAATATCCTATCATAGTTCACTTTAGTGAGTAACCCTGTCTGTATCTAGTCTGACTTCACTACCACTGGACCATGTACCCATACCTCCCAAGTGTCTCTATTAAAGAGGGGCAGTCACTATTCTTGTTCTAAATTACATTTTAGTTGCCTAAATTGTTACTAGTAAGTCACCTAATATTTCTCAGAACAGTCTGCCCCTAGCCACACTCACATCCCTAAAATTAAAGTGTCCCATTTTGTGATTTGAAATGTTGGGAGTCATGTGTACCTGAGCAATGTACTGTTGTTGTGCATGTGTGGTTGATGATGTAACACGTGGCAGTAATTCCCATATATACATTATATACATTATGCCTTGCTATGAGAGCAGGGAAGTAAAAGTGGCTCTCCTTTTAGAGGCTTCAGAGGTGAGGCTTAGAGATGCACTTTCAAGCCTTATAATTATTAAAATATATACGTCTGGAGGCTAGGATATGGTGGTGGGGGGACATTGTAGGCACTAGAACAGCTTTAATTATATAAAGTTGTTATTGTGAGTACAGTCTCATAGAAGATGAAAATGCTTCTTTATTGTGCAAATATGAAAAAAGAACCTCTAATTTGTAGCAAAAAAAAAAAAGCTTAAAATTGAATTTACCATAAAACATGGACATTTACAGTATTTTAGAATAAGGCAAAAAAAAAAAAACTGTTCTCAAAATGAAATATACCACTGACTATGAAAGAGATGGCGTTAATAATGAGCTGATGAATATGAATATATGTGTCTTACCATATCCTTGATTTGACAGTGCCCATAATTATATACAATAGCATTCGGCGGGTTTCCAACCGGTAGCATCACAGCAAATGAAATGCACATGGTAACAGGTATTAGAGTGTACAGCGGATTGATGTGCAGGGTTTCAGACTAGAAAAGATCACACAAAAGGTCTCATTGCTCAACAACAGGATGATACAGGAGATTTATGCAGTTGTATTTTGCAATAAACTACATGTGTCACAAGGTAAAACGTCTAAAGAATAATAAATTAAAAAAAGAAGGTGCCAAAACATTTTTTTGCTGTCAAAATATAATTTCTAGAAATCCAATGGACATCATATGTCGTTTAGATGATGTATTGCACAAAATATACAAAACAATTTTATGTGAACACATTTTTCTCTAAAATTTAATCTTATCCATGGAGCATAATTAACGCTCTTTTTTTTCTGTTGTGAAACAGTGCATTTTATTTTCTTCTTCTCTAGCCAATTTAAGGCTATGAACTTTTTACTTCTCTATTTGTTAGATACCATATTTGTTTTTACCATATAAGACAGGGGTTCCAAACCCGTGGTACACGTACCCCCAGGGGTACAATCCAGTGCCAATGGGGGTACGCGGAAAAAATAAATTGGCAATAGCAGCGGTGCCGGGGTTGGGATCCCCAGTAGTGGTCCTGGTGACTAGAGTGTCTCTATAAGAATTGTATTTTAAAATCTGGCTCCTAACTTTTTTAGATGGCTCATAGATTCAAAGCAAATTTATCAAGCCCTGATGTATCTGTATGTGTGTCATTGTGTATCGTGTGTCATTGTGTATCTTGTATGTGTGTCAACAGTGAAGTACTCATAGGGGATGAAGGGGGGCGGTTCGCCCTGGGTGCCACACTTTAGAGGGGGTGCCATTACTGCATCCACCCTTGTAGACCGGGCAGTATTATTTAGTTATGAGGAGGAGGAGCGTGGAGACTCAAGATGGCACGTAACACAATGCTGCCACCATGCCCCGCCTGTCTGCCCCCCTCCCCCCCACAGTATTTCAAGCAGTAGCGGAAGGATCCAATTTGCTGCTATGTGCGGCACTGTGGTGGAAGAGCCCTGAAGCCGGAGCAGCAACAGCTGCAGAGCAGGGAGCAGCAAGCTGTGAGTGTCTGCTTGCTAATTTTGTGGGGGTTTTTAACCCCTTAAGGACACATGACGGAAATATTCCGTCATGATTCCATGTTATTCCAGAATTGTGTCCTTAAGGGGTTAAATGGACATTCATGGTTTTTTTTTGTTAAGAAGGGGGGTGCATGTTTTTTTTTTCCTGAAGAAGGGGTATGCTGTGGTTTTTGTAGAGGGGGAGAGGTTTTGTAGAAGAGGGGCTTGGGTTTTTCTGAAGGGAGGCAGGGCTTTTGTAAATGGGGCAGGGGTTTAGTATTAGGGGGCTGCAGAAGGGGGGCTGTGCAAGGATTTTTCTGAAGGGGTACAGAGGTTTTGTAGAAGGGGCTGGGCAGGGGTTTTGTAAAAGTAGGTGGTAGGGATTTTTGTGTAGGAGGGGGTGCAGAGTTTTTTTTAGAAGAGGTGCAGGGGTTTTGTATTTCAAGGTTTATATTCTTGAACATGTAAAAAACTAAATTGCTGGTGCTTTTTGCATTTTAAAGTAGGTGAGGTGTTGGGAGGGGGTGTCAAATTCAGGATCCGCCCTGAGTGCCAAATGCTCTTGGTGCACCTCTGTGTGTCGGTGTGTGAATCTGTGTTTGTATCTGTGTGTCTGTATATCTGTATGTGTGTGTATCAGTGTGTCTGAGACATAGTTACATAGCTGTCTA